GATAACCTAAATATACATGAACTTACGGTTAAAGCTCAACAGCTGGCATCTGTAGCTCAGTTGGTTAGAGTGCTGCACCGGAATCGCAGGGCCGTAGGTTCAATTCCTACCAGAGGACCTTGTGCTGCTTTTTTCGCAGTCGTTCCTTGTTAGGTCTTAAAATGTATATATTCTCATTTGGATTACAAACCCTAACATTCTAATATTAATTCCACCAAGTGAAGTGCAAGAATCCAAATTATTGAAGTCCACCTTATCACAACCCGCACACCCGATTACCTAAATATGCATGAACTTACGGTTAAAGCTCAACAGCTGGCCTCTGTAGCTCAGTTGGTTAGAGCGCTGCACCGGAATTGCAGGGCCGTAGGTTCAATTCCTACCAGAGGACCTTGTGCTGCATTTTTCGCAGTCGTTCCTTGTTATGTCTTAAAATGTATATATTCTCACTTGGATTACAAACCCTAACATTCTAATATTAATTCCACCAAGTGAAGTGTAAGAATCCAAATTGTTGAAGTCCACCTTATCACAACCCGCACACCCGATTACCTAAATATACATGAACTTACGGTTAAAGCTCAACAGCTGGCCTCTGTAGCTCAGTTGGTTAGAGTGCTGCACCGGAATCGCAGGGCCGTAGGTTCAATTCCTACCAGTGAGAGGACCTTGTGCTGCATTTTCGCAGTCGTTCCTGGTTAGGTCTTAAAATGTATATATTCTCACTTGGATTACAAACCCTAACATTCTAACATTTGAAATTAAGGATTTGGAGGTTTTGCGATCACTGATAACTTGATAATAATATAAAACAAAACACTTCTATCTGCAACTTTTACTATCACTGATAACTTGATAATAATTTAAACCAGTCAAGTTGTAGTTTAAATAGAGAATAATACATGGGTGCACGAAATACCAGATTTATTTCGAGTGTTGAACACGAGTGCGGAGCGAACAAGTGAGCGCATCGAACGAGTGAGATGTCATGTTCAACACGAAAAATAAATCTGGTATTTCCAACCACCCATGTATTTTTCTGTTTATTATATAAAGGACAGTCTTTGAAAAGCGATAATTTTTACAGAAAAGCGATAATTGAAAAGGCGATAATTTTCACATGTGCGATTATCATGAATAATTTCACATGTGAGATTATCATTTTTATCAGTGCTCGAAATCTCTTTAAAATACTCATTAATAATTCATAAACCTTGTGGCAAACATGTCAGCCATAATATGTCACGTGGAGTGACTTTATATCTGATAAAACACATGTGGCATTATATAATTGTTCATCTTAATTAGCATGATTATACTATGGTTCATCCTAATTAGTATTCTTTTGTAGTCGTATTTTAAGCTATTCAAAACACTCGTTGTCGTGTTTTATCAGATATATAACGCTCGGCTGCGCCTCGCGTTATATATCTGATAAAACACTCCTACTCGTGTTTTAAATAGTACATAAAACACTATACTTTATATGATAAAAATTCATAAATTTGAACCACGCTAGACCATGACAACAGCAAAATGCTATATAGTATGATGCACAAAATTTTGGGAGATGAAATACACGAACAATAAATCAGAGAGTGTTTGCGTGAATGCGTGAAACTCACTGGTGGGGGGGGGGGGTGCAACACCCCTGATAATTGCTCATGAGGAATTTCAGGTAGATTTCCAGTGCACTTTTAGGTAAATTTAAGTAGATTTGCAGAAGATTTTCAGGGGAATTCAGGTAATTCTCAGGACATGAGAAAGTGAATTTGGAAAACAACTGTATTTTCGGAAAAATTATTATATGTCCTGAAAATTTTTTGTACATCTGGAAACATTTTGGTAACCTCCCCCCCTCTATCTAACCTCACACACACCCTGAGACGAAGTGCTAGCAACGGCACTGAGTATACATCTTTTGAAAACAAGCGAGGGGTTATTGCATGCATGTATTTCTAGTTAGGATTTATTCAGAACATGTATATTTTCAAATTATATTAGTTTTAGTAACAGATAGTTCGTTGCTATGACGACATACGTGTAAGAACTTCACTCCAAAATGGCCTATCGCCTCATATAGTTGGAAATCAAGCATGCATGGTGACCTCATGTTTTTTCCTGCATTATTTTACATGGAAAAAACTAACAAGTAGCAAAGTATATTTAAAATTATGTAATGCTATTGGTTTTGAAAAGCGAAGTGTCGTACTCTTCGGTAAAATGTTTTTGGTATAACAGATTATTTGGTATTACAGATTATTTGGTATTACAGTGGCAGTGTGCTGTACGGCCTACGTTTAAACCGTTTTACAGTACATCATTACTGCTTTCATTCTTTCAATCCGTTTTGAATATTCGGAATCATTCACAATATTATAACATTGTAGGATAGCTGTAGAACTATAAATGCTGTAGAATAAAATAAATAAAAAAAACTAAATTTTATCGCGGTATTTGCCGATAAATCGGTAATCGCTACAGAATAACAGAACAAATTACAGTAAATCACAACAAACTGCGGAAGTGGGACAATTTTTGTATTTTCACTGTAACTAGAACATGTACGAAATCCATACGGAAATGTGTGTGTATTCTATACTTTTGAAACAACTAAATCAGACTTCAGAAAATTTGACAGTATTAAAGCTGCTTTTGAGCATTTAGATTTTAGGTCTTCGTTTTACATATAGCCAGTAAATATTTTGGAGTTTCGAATTTTTATTCTCAAGTTATTTAAATTAATAGCTAAATGTGTACAAATCGACACAAACGCCACAAAAGCGAAAAGGAAGGCAAGATCGTAAGAATCGCTTGTAAACATGAGAAGTTTCGAGCATAAACATGAAATTGAAACGAGTAATTTAAAGGGGAAGTCAGAGTTCAGAACAACTTAGGCTGATATGAAAGATCATATAATGCTTATCTCTCACACAAAGTGCCAGATGTACAAGTTATAACCAAGTCGAGAAATAAAGCGATAAATGTGCTAAAATTTACATATAACACAGCCGCCATTTTGTACCTCAAAGCGAAGCTGCGATCACGCAGCGATTTTACCTTGTGACGTCTTGCGCGGTTGGCTTTCCACGGCAGACAGGCTTTAATACTTTCATTTTCTGACATACATGTATAAAACAAAGACGAAATAGTATTTATAAATTTAAGAGAAATACTGTAGCAAGAGAAATGGATATTAATTACTCAAACGAATCTTCGAGCGATGGTTCTGAAAGCAGTGGATCGAGTTATAGCGAAGATATGAACGTCGAAAGAGACGTAAACATGATTCAACCTTACGCGTTTGAACCGGTTGAAACCGATTCGAGTGTTGACCATGTTGATTCGGAAGAAATGGCTTCGGAATCTTCGTCAAGTTCTGCCAAATCCACCAGACTTCAGGACACGAACTGGTAATTATTTACTAAATTTGCTTCTATTATTTATGTTGTAGATATGTAGGTTAAGTTATGTTGTAGATATGTAGGCAACATGCACAACTAGGTTTATTAGTGCTTTAATTGTTTGTACATTATTATGGGCGGCATTATCATTATGTTTTTACTTATAATTATTATAGTTTTCAATGAATCAAACATGACTTAAAATCATAAATTCAATAATGCTTTAGCCCAAATTAACGTGGGTAAGCCCAAATTAACTTATGATTAAATTGGAACTTGGCTTTGTACATGTATAGGTGCTTTTGTACTCACTCCCAAATAATGGATAGGGAAGAAGACAGTATTTGCTGCCAAAAGATCCCAGCTTGTGTTTCTATAAACCAAGAAACAGCACAAATTGAGGAGATACCCGTCCCAGAATGTATTACTGATAACCCTGCATTTTAGTATTTATGCCTGAATTATTGGGTCTTGCGAGTTGCTTGGAGCGATTATAGACAACATTATGGCATAAAGGGCCTGAGCACAAAAAACGAAGACTTGTTGCTTACAGGCAGTTTGTTAAGTGGTGTTGGGATATATGAGGCAAAGAGATAAGGGTCCCCTTGCTATCTTGTGCAGTTAGTTGTTTTCGAGCACACTTACATGCACCACCAGGTTTAGAAGAGGACTTTGTTTTTGAGGGTTCTGGTCAGCGGTCGCGTAGCAAGATGGCGGTGTATTTTGAGCTCTATAAAATAACAAATACAATCCGTCTCAATCCTTATCCATTATAAATTTTTATGTTGTTTTTGTCTTGTATCTGGTGCTACATTATTTATTGTCTGTTTTTGTTCATAAAATGGACAAATTTGAGCAGATATATGATCGTAAACTTACACCGTTGCTGGCCAAATTTGACCAACTTAACGATAAAGTCGATGATGCTCTGAGTTCACTCTCCTTTTTGAGTGAAAAATACGAGGAGATTAAGGGAAAAGTGTCTCAACTGGAGGAAAGTAACAAAGGTTTAAAGAAAGAGAATTTATTTTTGAATAAGGGATTAGCTAAGGCAACGAATGATATCAAAAATCTAAGAGGGCTGCAAGATGAATTCGAACAGCATGGGCGCAGCGAATGCCTTGAAATCAGAGGAATCCCGCAACTTTAAGGTGAAAATACCAATGAAATAATAGTGAAGATAAGTTCGAAGGTCGTAGTGGTTATAAAAGAAGAAGATATTTCAATCAGTCACCGTTTGCCTGTTCAAAGACGTAATGCTAATAATTTCAACCCAGTTATTATAGTAAAATTTACGAGACGAGTCATACGCGATAAGTTATTCATTGCAAGATATAAGCTGAAAGACCTCACCACAAGAGATATGGGTTACTCTAGATCTACTCCCTCCAAGATATTTATAGTTGAAAGTTTGACAAAAAGGAAAAATGAATTATTCAAAGTTTGTTTACAAGCCAAAAGAGATAAGGTATATCGTTTCTTGTGGACACGGTATGGCAAAATAATGATGCGTAAAGACGAAAGTAGTGAAGCAGTTACAATCTCTATCTTGCAGCAGTTGGATGGAACTTCTTAGCTTATTTGATCTTGACAGATAAGTAGATTATGGATATAATAATAAACTACTTGTATATGTTATATGTTTACTAGACTCTAATCATTAATGATTAATTTAAATCTTGATAGTCTGCCTAGTTTTGATGTTGCGTCAACATTAGCAAAAATTCCATCCTTAAAAGAAGTGGGCACTGATGGGCAAATACCAAGTAATGTCAACTTCAAATATTATAGCAATGAAGATATTCATGATGATCCAGAAATTCAGGAAATAATCAATGAGAAGTCGTTGTGTGTTTTGTATTGCAATATTAGAAGTTTATATGCTAATAATAAGTTATCGGCTATGTTGAGTGAATTGGGTTGTCCTTTTTCATTGATTGCTTTGTCTGAAGCCAAAATTAAATATGGGGAGAATCTTATATAATGTTGATATACCTGGGTATCATTTGTATCTCAGCCTTCACTTTCTAATGCAGGAGGTGTAGGATTATTTGTTAAGAATGATCTTAAGCACACAATAAGAAATGATTTAAGCACTTCTGAGAATGATTTCGAGACATTATGGGTTGATCTTAATAATCATAGTCAAAATATTATATGTGGCGTTGTTTACCGTCATCCAAAACACAATTTTGAAAATTTTACAAAATATTTGTATAAGATATTGGACCAAATTCAAAATTCAAATAAAATGTGTATTATACTAGGGGATTTTAAAATTAATTTATTGAATTCAGATTTTCATCGAACAACTGAAGATTTTATTAATAGTATTTATACTTACTTTATGAATCCACAAATAATTCAACCTACAAGAATAACTGACCATACAGCAACTTTAATAGACAATATATTTCTAAACTCTAGAGAGCACAGAAACAGCCTTCATAGTGACTGGTGATTTTAATCCAAATAGTAATAATTTCAACGAGAAACGTCTCAAAACTTTGTGCAGTCTGAAACAAAAGTCGCCCGCGTCCCTACGAGAGAAGGTTCCACTTTGGATTTAATTTTTTCTAATGTCGCATCCTTTTACTCCAATCCCTTAGCTTTAGCTCCATTAGATTCAGCGGATCATGTTATTATCCAGTGGAAGTCCAAAGACGTCGAAAAATCTATTAACCGAATAAGGAAAGTGACGGTGAGACCTATTAAGGATTCTAGTTTAGAAGCCTTCGGGCAGTGGATAAACTCATATGATTGGTCTATAGTAACAAGGTTTCCAACGGTCAACCAAAAACTGGAAATGTTCACCCAAGTAATTAATAGTTGTGTAAATATCTACTTCACTAGACGTACCGTAAAGTTCCACCAAGAGGATAAACCGTTTATAACAGGAAGAATTCAAACATTAATAGTGAACCGAGGTAAAGCTTTTGCGAAAGGAGATAAACAGAAATTCACATAGTTGCGTAACAAAGTTCGCGAAGAAATTAAAAAGGAAAAACAAAAGTTTTACTGGGTCAAAGTAAATCCATTACAGTCTAATAACCCAAAAGATTGGTGGAAAAGTAACAAACGTATATGTGGAATAAGCAACAACCAGAAAATCAACCTTGTCAACCCAGACTCTGGTGAACCTCTAACCTCAGAAGAATCAGTAGAGTGCATTAATGATTATTTAATAAACTTAACTAAGGACTATAATAAAATATCAAACGATCTACAGCTGGGTGGAGACGATCTTGATCTTCCTACCATTTCAAGGGAATGTATTACACAAAAGCTGAAATAAATCAATATCAATAAGTCCCCAGGTCCCTTTGATCCACCAACGAAAATTATCAAACACTTTGCGGAGCAGTTATCCGGTCCACTAACAGACATTATTAACACCTCCTTTCAAGAGAAATGTTTCGGGGAGATTTGGAAAGCATAGAACTGCTGCCCTATCCCAAAGACAAATCCATGCAATACAATAGGAGATATTAGACCAATTGCCCTTACAAGTGTATTTTCAAAAATTCAAGAATCATTTGCACTGGATTGGATGTTGGAAGATTCAAGGGACTGTCTCAGCGAACGTCAATTTGGGGGAATTCCTCGTTCGTCGTCTGTATTAGCCCTCCTCTAAATGCTACACACATCGTTTGTCGCCTTGGAGAAACCCAAATCGGTAATTACAATCGCTTTCTTTGATTTTCCAAGGCATTTGACCTTATAGATCATAACATCTTGCTGAATGACTTTAAATCTGTTGGAATTCGCCCCGCTTTACTACCATGGTTAGCCTCGTACTTATCCGACCTATTACAGAGGGTAAATATAGATGGATCGACATCGTGTTTTAAAAAGATCAACGCAGGGGTACCTCAAGGAGGTAAAATCGACCCGATAGCATTTATTACCAAAATTAATAAACTATCAGATTTGGCACTCACTGACAAGGTTCAGGAAAAGAACATGTTTCAATTTTTATGGACGATACTACCCTATCAGAGATTCTAAATATAAATAACCCTGAAACCCAGCCAGTGAGCAACATCCAAGCAAATGTTGAAAGAATTTCAAAATTTTCAAGAGAGGAAAATATGAGGTTGAACTTGAAAAAAACTAGAGAAATGGTAATCGACCTTCGAATTATGAAATCTGAAATACCAGTGATTACGATAGACAATATTCCTATTGAAAGAGTACAATCCCACAAACTATTAGGCATTTGGCTTCAATCAGATCTCACATGGCATACTAATAACTTTTTTATTATTAAAACGGCCAGGAAACGCCTATATTTTTTAAAGGTGTTAAAGAAATATGGCGCACTAGTAAAAGATCTATTAAAGTTTTATTGTTCAGTGATTCGATTGGTTTTGGAATACGGTGACATATTATGGCATGGTGGCCTAACGTTATCACAAAGTCAAGATATTGAAAGAATCCAAAAACGTGCTCTAAGGATTATCACTCCTGACCTAAGTTATGAAGATGCTCTTGCTTCGTCTAAACTACTTCCACTTAATCAGAGATCGAGACGGGACATACATTGCAGTGACTTAATTAAAAACATGTCCTCCCCGTAACATAAATTACACTATACTTATTACCTGTGAAAGTGGAAAACATTAGAAATAGGGAAACTAGATCCAATAGAAACAAATTTTATAACTTTAAAAGTAGAACTGATCGTTTTAAGAACAGTCCACTAGTTTATGCTATTGATAAATACAATAATAATATATAATGTTCTTACTAGATGTAAATAGATATAGTTTTAATAACATTTTAATAGATTAGCAGTATTACCTATGGAAATACATGACAATTAAGTTATCTTATTCCATGTATACTATTAAAACCCAGTATTATAACCCAGTATTATTGAATATGACACAATGAGTGGAAATCTTTTAACCGATATAACAGATCATTTAGCCAATTTCCTAATTAGTAATAGAATTGGTACCTTTAAAAAAGAAAATATTTCTTATAAAAGAAATTACACAAATATCAATCAGGAAAGAATTATTAACTCATTCTCATCCGTTCGAAAAGTAGCAATTTTGAGTGGTGTTGTTTTAAATGCATATATCTTTCAAACAATTCCTTTGTACGGAAACAGAAATTACATCGTTCGAAAGAGGATGTCTTTCGCTTTCCAACGATACCAATTTCAATTTCATCCCCAGCTTGGTTAACGATTTACTCGCATAAATTTGCATAAATTATGATATAAGAAAATGTTGCAATTATGCATAAATGTATTTACCGGTTCAAATTTCAAATACAGAATGTCAAAAATTTTATGAATGTATCTGAAAGACCCGGTTGTGATCTATATGTGACCGAAATATCATGCATGTAGCCTAAATGGAAGAATTTTTATTGAATTTTTGAATAAACTATGTAATGGAGTAAAAATTTACATTTTGTGCTCACATGAAACAAATACCCTTACCAAAGGTACTTTTTCATTGCTGCAACATATTATCAATACGAATTTCCAACATTTCTTACTCTCCAAGGGTAGTATGGCACCAAAATAAGTCTGTGATACCCACAAAAGAACACTCATATCACTATTTGCAAAATGTCTTTATTTCTACGGTCACTATATACATTCTTAGATAATCAGTACACCATTTACTTAGTTATCAGTAGCAAAACCAGCCTGAAAATTTGGTCAGGCTATTCAAATTTTATATAATCATTACTCAATTCTTGAGAAATTGATTGTTTTCACAATCTAGAACATGAAAATATTTGCATATAGCATGACCAAGTGTTGTTGGGCTGGCATCATCATTAGTAGTTATAAAAAAGTAATGTTTTCCAAGGCAGTAATGTTTGCCAAGGCACATAGGCTAATTGGATTAGGTGGTGAAAATATTTCCTTTTTTGCACAAAATATATATTAGCCAAACTTATGTCACATGACCACATCATACCCAAATCCATGCTGCTAAGAATCTGCGGACTTCTTCCTGTATAAATCTCAAAGTCGCAATAT